CCTTCTCCATGGTTTATCATAGATCAGGAAAAAAAAAAAAAAAAAAAAAAAAAAAACAGGAACCAATGGAAAATCTATCATCCTGGAAAACAGAACCCCAGATGTGTGATACAGAGGGGCAGAAGGAAAATGGAACCCACCTTGATGCCTTTTTAGGTAGCAGAACAAGCAGAAACAGGCAATGATGAGGAGAGACAATCCTCCCACAGGAAGCAGACTGTAGAGGAGCCACGGCTTGTCTGCCACCTCTTCCTTGGAGGGTGGTCCTGAGGCAGTTGGTGCATCTGGAATGTTAGTCAGTGCTAAAGACATTTAGGAAGTCAGAGCTATATTAGGTTCAGCAACATACCTCTGCATCATCAGATGCTTCTATTTCTCCTCCGGAGGTCTCTCCTAAAAAAATAGGCCTCAGTACTTGGCTTAATCTTTTGCATTTTTTTTTTTATTCTGCTAGGGTTAATCTTCTGTAGAACAATCTTCATAACAGCTCTCAGAAAGTATTTCACCAAGCCCTTCCCTTTACAGTATCAAAGTTTCCATTCATATGCACTATTTAAGGAAATTAGAGAAGGCTTTAGCTTTATTCAATTCTGTGACTTGAGTATAATAATAATAATTCCAGGAGTTACCCCCAAATAAGACAGCCAGTGAACCAACATGTTTCAGATACTAAATTCACTTCCCTTCAACACAGTGCCTTTTCTTTGTCTCATAACTCACTGTTATCTCCAAATACCGAATACTTTTGGCTTCCTCAAATATGCTTTGCATGGCATATAGTTGATGCTCATTATTATTTATAGGTGTTAACAAACATTAAGGCTACTTGTCCAGGGTAGTTTGAAACTTGTTAGCAGATTATAAAACAATTTAGTAGATCACAAATATCATTTCTGGAAAATGAAGCAGAGCACAACAGAATACATTGGAATGGATCACACACAGTAGTGATTCTCAAGCAGGACAATTTCTCCCCCAGGACACAAGTGGCAATGTCTGGAAATGTTTCCGGTTGTGACAAAGTTGGAATGGGACTGGCATATAATGAGCACAGGCTAAACACCCTATATTACATAAGACACCTCTTCACCTTACTGCGGGTGGACATATAGTAGACTATATGTTCTATAGTTTGGTAATTCAGAAGAGTGGAAACAAATGTAGCACTGTTCCTGCTGCAGCTGCTGTTGAAATTGGGCAGGCAGCCAAGTCATTGCAGGAGTGGGAGACGGCTGTCTCGGGGAGGGATTTGGATAACAAACAACAGATAATCTAATACAAACAAATCCACTAGACTAAGAAGACCCAACTTCTATTATTTTTCCACCCATCACACAAACTTGTTAATTTTATTTGATTAGTTTTATACTTACTTATTTGAGGTTCTGAATTATTTCTGGTCTGTTCTGAAATACAGAAATAGGATGAAGAATTGAAATTGAGAAAACAATGAGTATATTCTCAGGGATGACTAAAATCAAAGCTAACTTTGGAGAAGACTCTGGTAATTGCATACTAACAGAGAATCCAATGATCCACTTCAAGGCCAGTTTGCATGATTCATGTATCATCACTATAAAATCATGAAATAAAGTAAATTCCTAAGTTAGTTTCAGACTCAAAGAAAAACTCCGCAAATACAAGGTGACACTCATCTGTCTGCTTTGATTCCCTCTTCCACATTCCTTAGGTATATGGATACAGAACAGCCCATGTAGCACCTCTAGAACCTGCAATAACAAGACACACCAGCAAGTGCTCCAAGTTGAGTATGGAAGGCCATAAGGAAAGGATGCTTTGGGAGACATTCTGGGTGCTCATTCTGAAACAAAGACTGTGCCTTTCACTCTCTTCCGTCTCACTCCACACCACTTTCTTTCTCAGATAATAATCACCCTGCATTTTTGAAGTTTCTCATCAGGACTGACCAGGGACAGTCTGAGGAGAACAGACTTCTAGACCAATGTATGTTCCCCTGACTGTTTCCCAGCTCAATCAACTTTCCTCTTGGGACTTTGCTTTGCTTTACAAAGTTGCTTTTCTTCATTTTGGGAGAATACTGCTTTCCCAAGAGAATCCAATTCCCCACTTTGTCACCCGCCTGTTCTTACATGAACCCACTCTGAACATAAACAGAAAAGGAGAGTCAGACACAAAAACAAGAAAATGCCCAATAACCCTTCAGAAAGATATTTCAAGGGGGAACAATTAAATAGTTTTGTCATACCTCCAAAATGTATTTATTAAAGCATAGTTCTTAAACATAATTCCAGGGTACATTTTTCCCTCACTTCATATTTACTTTATTGAGTCCTCTCATTTTCAAAAGGAAAAAAATTTTCTTAACCCTTGCCCTATTACCTTTGTTTTCACCATTTCATTAAAGTAGAATTCACACTCAGTTTAAATTAAAATAATTTCAAAATAATTTATTTGACTTTTGTGAAGGAATCAGATAACCCAAAGAAATATGACACAATTTCTACCTTCCAGGACATTATACTCTCTCATGGAACTTGAGAGCATTTCCATACATTACTATTGTGAAAGAAAATATGTAAAAAAAAAAAAAAAGAGAGAGAGAGAGAGAGAGAGACACAGAGGCTTAAATTGCATAAGAATTGGTAGAAAAGAGAAATTGCATCCCCTAAAGCAATCGTGGAAGGCTTCCTTGAAAACTTAGGTAATGAGCTGGAACTGAATGGTGGGCTGAAGCTTTGATAGGTAAAGATAGGTGAATGAATGCCCTGTGAGCGGTGACAATGGCATAAGAGGGTTCATGGTAAGTGTAGAGCCATGGCAAGTGGGGCAGCTGGGCTGAGTGGAGAGGTTCTGCGTGGAATCCAGAAACAATCCACAAAGGTAGGGATGAGCTGAGGAAGACCTTGAGTGACGGTGAACAAACATAAGCCCAATTCTGCGAGCACTGAGGATGCTCTCCAGGGGACAAGAAATGTATCAGGTGTATTAAGTATTTTAGGGAGATTTTGGGCCAAAATGACCAAAATGGGAAACACTAAGGACAAGAAGTCCAATAGTACCATTAATTGGAGTCATTTAGAAGGAAAATAATGAAGGTCTGAGATGCTCTTAGAAGCTGTAAAGAGAACACATCACAGAGCAGAAGATTCTCTTGACAAACAGGAGCAGAAGGCCAAAGCCAAGTGGTGGGGAATACCTGGTGTGGACCAGAAGCCTTGATTGACCAAGTGAAATGAAAGAGAGCAATAAGGAAGGGAGGAGCAGGGAAGAGACAAAACTGGGAGGGTAGAAATCCTCCAAAAGAAACCAGCCCCTTCCTGTCTTCAATTTAACTCTTTGGGTCTCACGGGCCTCACCTCCACACTTTTAATTTCCAGTATAAAACTAATAAAACCCCTTGGGGCACAGAGTTTAACAGGAAATGCTTTTGGGTCTGACTTCTTTTCCTTAGCAGAACGTTTCTGAGGTTTATCCAGGTTGCAGCATGTATCGGTACTCATTCCTTTTTAGAGATCAATAATATCCATTTGTGTAGATATGCCACATTTCCATTCATCAGGTGGTGAGCATTTAGGTTGTTTCCACCTCCGGTATTGTGAATAGCTGCTTATAAATGTTCATGTGAAAGTTTTTTGTGACATATATTTAATTCCACTTGGGTATTTACCTAGCCACACAATTGCTTGGTAATGTGGTAACTAGGTTATCTTTCTGAAGAACTGCTAGACTGTTTTCCAAATTAGCTGTGCCAATTTATATTACCACCACAAGAAAGGTAAAAGTGGTTCCACTTCTCCACACCCTTGCCAACACTTGTTTTTTTTTTTTTTAATTCTTGTCATTCTAGTGGGTATGCCATGGTATCTCATGGTGGTTTTGATTTGCATGTTCCCAAAGATGAAATGATATTGAGCTTTTTCTCACATGCTTATTGGCCATTTTGTATACAAAATTCTTTGATAACATGTCTACTCAAGTCCTTGCTTATCTGTTTATAGTTGGCTTGTAGTAGTTCTTATACATTCTAGGCAAACATCTCCTATCAGACATATAATTTGCAAATATTTTCTCATATTCTGTGGTTTGAATTTTTACTCTTTTGAAAGTATCCTTAGATGCAGAAAAGTTTTCAGGTTTTATGAAGCCAAACTTATCTAATTTTTTGTCTACATTTTTTGTAATTTTATCTAGAAAACTATTACCACATCCAAGATCAGGAAGGTTTTCAGTTTTATATATATATTTATAGTTTTATATAAATTTAGTTTTCATAATTTTAGCTCTTATATTTAAATATCTGATCCATTTTTTAATTTTGTGTGAGGTAAAGGGTTTTAATTTATTCTTTTGCTTGTGTGTATACAATTGTGTCAAACAAATCATTCATTTGTGTTTTTTTATTGGGTCGTGTTCAGTGTTGGGGATCAAACCTGGGGCTTCTTGCATGCTAGGGACCAATATCTTAAGGGTTTCTCCTATGTTCTCTTCTAGTAGTTTTTAAGATTCAGGACTTAGATTAAGGTCTTTGACTCATTTTGAGTTAATTTCTGTACAGGGTGAGATAGGAGTCAAGTTTCAATTTTCAACATGTGAATATCCAGTTTTTCCAGCACCATCTGGTAAAGAGGCTGTCCTTCCTGTAATGTATTTTTTTGGCACCTTTATCAAAAATTAGTTGACTGGGCTGGATGCAGTGACTGTAATCTCAATGGCTAGGGAAGCTGAAGCAGGAGGATCTCAAGTTCAAAGCCAGCCTCAGCAAAAATGAGGTACTAAGCAACTCAGTGAGACCCTGACTCTAAACAAAATACAAAACAGGACTGGGGATGTGGCTCAGTGGCTAGTGCCCCTGAGTTCAATCCCTGGTACCAAAAAAATAAAATAAAATCAGTTGGCTGAAGATGTGTTTGGGTCCTCTGGTCTGCTCCACTGATCTTTGTGCCTGTTTGATCAGTAGCATGCTGTCTTTCTTTGTTACTGTGTCTCTGTGGTATGTCTTGAGATCAGGTATGTGATGCCTCCTGCTTTGCTACTTTTCAAGATTGTTTTGGCTATTCCAGGTCTATCACAATTTCCTATGAAAATCTGATTCTAAAAATTCATAGGAAAAAACAGCTGTTGGGATTTTGAACGGGATTACACTGACTCTCTAGACCATCTTGGGGAATATTATAATTTTTACAACAGTGATTCTTCTAAACCATGATGATGGGAGGTGTTTACACTTATTTACATCTTAAATTTATTTTAGTCAGACTTTTTTTGCTCAGTTTGCAAGACTTTTACCTCCTTGATTAAATTTATTTCTAAGTGTTTTACTTTTTGATGTTATTATAAATGAAAAATTTCCCCTTAATTTCCTTTTCAGATTATTCTTTACTGGTGTTATAGAAATACCACTGATTTTTATATGTTCATCCTGTATCCTATAAATTTGCTAAATTTGAGTGTTAATCTTAATACTTTTTTATGAATTTTATAGCATTTATCTGTATAAAAGGTCATGCTGTCTTTGAACAGACTGTTTTACTTCTTCCATTCAAATTTAGATGCCTTTTATTTTTCATTCTTGCTAAATTGTTCTGGCTCAAACTCCCAGTTCACTGTTGAATGGAAATGGCAGAAGCAGGCATCCTTGTTTTGTTCCTGATCTTAGGGGACAAGAATTCCATCTCCCACCACTGGATAAGCTGTTTTCTGTGGGATTTTCACAAATCAAAAATAATTTTACTCTCCTTTCCTCCTCCCTATATATATTTTTTTTTTCCCTCTGCTTTGTTCAGTTGGGTTTTCCACAGCTTAATCTTCACCTGTTCTCCCTCAGCTGTTACAGCTATTTAAAGGCCTCTGGGGAGGAAGTGGGGAGTCAGCTGAAGCCCTGCACAGTCCCCAAAACTCATCAGAGTCAAGCTACTTGTGTCAGTTTGCCCTGTGAACATTAATAAGTGTGTATTTATTGGAGCACCACAAATATAACTTGCATTAATTATAATCGACAAAGTCAAAAACAGAAAAATGGAAGAAAAAAAAGAAAAGAAAAAGAAAGCAAGGACAAACAATAAAGAACTATCTGTAATCACTGGTATTCACCTTGACATTTTTTTTTTTCACTGTTTCAATAATCTACTTCTGGACTTACCAAGTAAATGATATAATCCATAAGTGCAAAAACAAAAACTTTCATTGTACTTTTCTTACTCTTCCCCAACTCACTTCACACGCACACACCCACATACATGCAGACACCCATGCACTCCTGGATCTCACACTCTGTGAGGTGTGGCAGACTTCTGAGGTGATGCAGGCGTTCAGTTTCTAACCTACTCACTTAAGAAAACCCGGATCTTCAGTTGCCTGGAAATATGATGAGAAAAACATTAGATGGTCTGGGGGTTGAGAACTCACCTGTCACATAAAGGGTTATTGAATGACTTGGAGAGACAAAAGACTGAAAATACGCATGACAGCTATATGAGCCATTGTCGCTAGGAAGCACTGGTTCAAAATGTAGAAAAAATACTGAAATATTCTGCCTTTCTTCCCAACTTGTGTGTGGCTGAAGTCTATCTCCAAGTTGGAAACACTGTGTTCCATTGAATTTGCACCAAGTCATATTGGGTCTCTTAGCACAGTATTTGACAGGGCATTCCATTTTAAAGGAACTTCCTGCCGGGGCATGGTATGCTGAATGTCTCTTCACGGAAAGTTGTTCTTTACATGACTCCTCCCCTAAAAGATAAAGACAGAATTAAAATCAAATCTGTTCTTCTCAACCACCATATATATGCCACTTCCACCATTTCTACCAAAAATTTCTCAAGCTTAATTATATCATTTTTCTAGGTAATATATCCAAGGAACTGACCCTCACTAGCCCAGTGTCTTGTATATAATAGTCACATAACAAAGATCTTTATTTAATATTTTTAATACTGGATTTACAGAAAATCATTTCATCTTCACAACAAAAATACTATATATTAGTATATATGTTTTACAAATGAGGAGACTGAGGTGATAAAGAACTTGTCTATAGTAACATGCTAAAAATTCAGAGAATTAAGATTTAAAGTCATACTGTAGTTTCTTGTTCTAGAACTCATTAGCCATTAGTCTGTATTACTTCTTGAGCAACTCTTAAACCATTAAATGAAGAAGAATTTTTTAAAAGTTTGTTATAGTTGTAGATGGACAGACTGCCTTTATTTCATTTGTTTATTTTTTTATGTAGTGATGAGGATTGAACCCAGAGCCTCACTCATGCTAGGCAAGTGCTCTGCCACTGAGCTACAGCTCCAGCCCCAAGAAGAAGAATTTTTGTAAACAATCATATGCCTAAAATACCTGAAATTAGGAATTTTATTTCTTAGTTTTTCAATGGCCTTAATGCTGCCTTGCAAGTTTTTCCCCGTTTTCTTTGTAGAAGACGTGCAACTCAAAATAATCATCTGAAGACAAGATGTTCCTAGTTACCCAGAACTTTTTATTCTCCAACAGGAAGGAGGAGCAGGGCTCCAACTCTGGGAATCTCTGCATGCTGGCCCAACATACTGCAAACATGCCTCCCTTTGGGGGAAAGAGCTTTTCCCTGAAAATAGGCCTTTTTTCTATGTAATCTATGAATCTCCAGCTAGCAATTGTCAAGTGTATATAAAATCTGCAGCCAGAAACATTTTTAAAGTTTTCTATGTTGTTGAATAAGTTATCATTAACTTATCATAAATATATTTACCCTGTAACCTCTATATTCAAAATAATACCTGAGAACCAAGTTATATGAGAAAGAAATCTTTTCTAAGCAGACAAAATAGATATATCAAGATCTAAAATTTAGCTCATTTTATACCTAATTCTTCCAATTCCATTTTCACTTCAGAGGACAAAACATGCTATATGATACAGACTAATATGTTCATAATGACAAGACTTAATCAATAATAGAATTTTAACTATTAATTCTCAGAGTCCCATGCATAAGGGACATGAGATACGGTATGCATTTACAATAATTAAAAAAAAAACTTTTACATCATTTACATCATGTAACTGATATATGTATGATATGTGTATAAATCACTGAATATTTTATTATGGTTCTATCTTCTTGATGTAGTGAAACAAAATAAAATAGGCAAAGTTTCTGTCGAGTTAAGCAATTTATATATTTTTATTTTTCTAGTAAAGATAAGGCTAAGCACATGGTCTTAAAAGTATTTAAAATACTTTTTCCTCCAATCTTCTAGTTCTTTATTAGCCTATTCTTTTATGTTTTGAACTATTCTCTCAGCAATGTGTCTAATCCATATTCATTAATATCTTTAACACATCTTCAAGTATTCTTCTGAATAGATTCACAGAATCATGGGTTATAAACACATAAGCATACCTGAGATTATAGCTAAAAGCCTTCTTTAAAGACCAGGAGGGCTAAGGACTCCACCACAGGGAAGACCAGACGTTGAGCTAGCCAGCGGCTTTGGGCCCCAAGTTCCACAAGCCTCTCTACATAGGACAATATTCTGCTTTATTTCTATATCCTTATAAAATGAATATTCTCATTTTAGCTATTTCCTAACACCTAATAAAACTTTCACTCTAATTCCTGGTCATATCTCATCAATTCCAGCTCACTATAATTGAAATTTGATTAAGTTTTCAGAAATTGTGATTGAGACAGTGAACCTTTAGAGAAACTTAAGAACACAATTTACTATTTATAACTATGTTGAGAGCACAAATGAGTTCACTTTAATACTTGCTAAGTCAGTGGCTTTCAAAAATTCAGAATAAAAATGAAAGCAAACAAAAAAGGTAAGTCATAAAAATGAGATTTTCAAAAATTGAAGAGAAAGAGTAAAATAACTTACCAAAAGGAAGTGCCTAAATGTGGTTATAGTTATGACAAAAAAGCAAGGAGGTCAGGGGCAGAAAGACCAAGTGAAACCAGGTGTCTGTTCCTCTCCCTAACGTTAATGGACTATCATAGCTTCCTAACTTCCCCTTTTCATTCTCTTGGGTAAATTAATTACAGTTTATGGAGCCTATAACTTTGTACCAGAATTGCAAAAATCCAGATGGTTACAAAGACGTTTTGTTTTCAGAAGTTTACTGTTTAATTAGACAATATTACCTAATGACAAGGCCACATTTCTAGAATATACTTATTATCTACTATTCTTTTAAAGTTTACTTGAGCTGAAAGCAAGGTTTAGAGGGATCTAGTATGTTAATTTTGGGGGGTGGGTATAGAAATAAGACGTGATGCCTGCATTTTGGAATTTGGCTTCTAATGGGAAATAAAAATACATGATGAGTGGGAGAATAACTCTGTGTAAACATACAGACCACTTTTCGTGGCTATGCACAGGTGTGACCTCAGCTAGGGCTCTTGAGGCAAGTCTTCATGGAACCTGAGAGCTGAACCTCAGTAAATAAACAGCCCTTTGACAATCAGAGCAGAGACCAGCAAGATATTTCAGGACTGAGACAATGGGGGATTAAAAAAAAAAAGGCTCTTCATCCAGAAATCTTATGGTTCATTCAAGGAACTGACATACAACTGGATTGCAGTTTTCTGAAAGTGACATGGATTCCACTGGTTGGTTCAGAATAAATGGAATAAGTATTAAGTAGGGAAGTTTAAACTTTGCCTATCTACCATGAGAAAATGCAGTGCCTAATTTGGGGGGAGAGGTATTTATAAAGGGCATGGAAATAGCTGTAAATGAGAATATTCATTGAACACACCTGTTTCAAATGTTAAAACATTGTGTGAAGTTGAGATAACTACCCAGTTTCAACAGTACTCAATTGCTTCACAATAAGAACAGGATTGAATTACAAAAATAGGAAAGTTACTAACCACCATCACCTCCTAACACAAACACATACAACTTCATGTCCCTCAATGTGTGATTGACTGTGAAACCACTTCTAAACTGCAATTTTGACCCCTATTGCAACATAGTACCCTTCCATTATCCAAAGAATTGTCACCTCATGCTAGTAGCACAATTAAACACATCTTTTGGTCTCAGCATCCTGTGATTCTATGCTCGAGAGGAATGCAAAAAATTGATTAGCAGGTGGAGGTGGAAAAAAAGAGATAGCTGTTAGTCCTAGCTACATCCCTAACTTGCAAAGGGCTTACAGAAACATTATTGAGGTTCCTGCATATTTTTATCAGCAGGATGAGGATCATTGACAATCCCAGTGTGAACTTTGATTCCACAGGCACAGGAATTTTTCTTGAATGAAAGAATGAATAGATGATGAATGCTTGGAAACTAGGCATTAAAAATCATCAAGAATATTCCCTCTGTGCATAAACGAGATGTTACTCTTCCTATCTCTCAGAAACTAAATCTAATGCTTCTAGGGCAAAAAGGATCCACTGAACCAAATGTAACAATTCTAATTTTTCAGGATATGTGGGTGGCCAGATCTCAAAGGAGGACTGCTCCTTAGCTCTTCCTAGGAAGCTCTCAGGGGATAAAGAATCTCGGATCTGTATCCTGAATTTACCTTAATGGTCAAAAGGTTAAGTGAACATGTTTTTGTAATAAGCAAAAAAAAAAAAAAAACACACAATAAAACAAGCTATTATATCAAAGAAAATGACCTGAGGTTTTCAAGGACACCATCAAGAAGCCAAAAGGAAGCTAGGTGCAGTGGTGCACTCCTGTAATCCCAGCAACTGGGAAGCAGGAGGTCAACCCAGGCAAATCAGTGAAGCTCTGTCTCAAAAAAATAAATACTGGGGATGTAGCTTCATGGTAGAGTGCCCTTGGGTTCCATCTCCAGGAAAAAAAAAAAAAAAAGGAAGGAAGGAACAAAACTCACAGAATGAGAGAAAATATTTGCAATTATTTATGTGTAAGAGTCTAAGAGTTAGAGTGTATAAAGAACTCTCACAGCTCCATAATAAAAGGTAAATCACCCATTAAAGAAAGGGCAAAGAGTTTGAGTAGATATTTCTCCTAAGGGTATATACAAATGGCCAAATACATATATGAAAAGATGTTCAACCCTGGGCACCATAGTACATGCCTGTAATCTCAATGACTTGGGAGTCTGAGGCAGGAGGATCACAGATTCAAGGCCAGCCTCAGCAAGTTAGCAAGACCCTGTCTCACAACTAAAAGGATTGGAGATGTAGCTCAATAGTAAAGTGGCCTGGGTTCGATCCCAAGTGCCAAAAAAAAAAAAAAAAAAAGCTGTTTAATATCATTATTTGCCAGAGAAGTACAAATGAAAGTCACAATGAGATACCAATTTACACATCCTAGAATAAGTGTAATAATAATAAAACTTCAGAAAACAACAGGTGTTTGTGGGAATGTGGAAAAATTTGAATGCTTATACACTGCTGAGCGAAATACAAAATGACGCAGTTGGTGTGGAAAACAGTTTGGTAGTTCCTCAAAAAGCTAAGCATTATTGTTATCCTAGGACTCAGCAATTCTATTCTTAGGTATACCCCAATAGGAGTAACAATGTGTGTACCTACAGCGTCTTGTATAATAGCGTTAATTGTAACTATATTCATAATAGTAAAAAAAAAAAAACGGAGTAACCTGAATGTCCATCAACTGATAAATGTATAAACAAAAGTGGTATTTCCAAACAATGGAATATTATTCATCCATAAAAAGAAATGAAATATTTATTCATACTACAACATAAATGAACCTTGAAAATATTATGTTAAGTAAAATAAGCCAGATACA